AAACAGGAACTTCCTTCTCACCAAATCTAATTACCCACTTCCTCCCATTCCGCAGGCGCTCTTTGACCCTGATACATTTAACTTTTCCTCTTCAATAAAATAATAAATGGCTCCCACTAGGTTAAAACCTAACCATAAATACTATATATACTAACCATTTAGCTAAGAAGAGCAGAGGTACCATTCACTTAAGAACAGCGGAGGTACCATTTGGCCAAGAAGAAAGAAGGTACCAGTCAGCCTAGGAGAGCAGAGGTACTAGTCAACTAAGGAGAGCTGAGGTAACACGCAGCCAAAGAGAGCAGAGGTACCATATGTATTGAACAAAGCTTTGATTTGCAATAGACTACATGTGCATTTATTGAAATTATTCCTCAGCATGTGTTAGTTTGGACATTGGTTTAAAAGGGGTTGTTGGTGTTGTTGCAGCAATGTATGTAAAAATGTTAAATATAACTTACTAACAAGCAAGTTACTTCGGAAAAAATATATTGCATTATCCCAGAAAATATTATTTCAAACGTTAAAGCCAATTAGCAGAAATTTCTTATACGGAGACCAATTTTAAAAACAAGTCACCACCAAAATGTTAAAAAAGCTTAACCTACGTATATGTTAAGAAAAAACAGGTCAACACCGACAGAAAGGCACAGAAGAGTAAAAAAAAAAAATTAGTCAGCCCCACAAAAGTCTGCTACTTGTTTGTTTTCTATGACAAAAGTAGGGGAAACTCACCTTAGTTCGCGAGCTGCGTTCAATCACAGGCGAGATTGGAATCGCCTGTCTACTGATGATGTTGTCCCTGTAGTCCTCGTCTTCGTCGTCGTCGTCGTCTTCATCATCATCATCATCGTCGTCGTCCTGGATTGTACTCCTGAGGGAGATTTGAGTGCTTGAAGCAGGTGGGTACCGCTGATGTCGCTTCTTAGGAACCCACAAGTTGGATATTCTGAAGGTGATGCGCGTAGTTAATACTGGAGTACCAAGCTCAGGCGTGCGGGAGAGATGTTAAAAACAAAAATAAAAGCACTGCAGATAGCATTACCAAGAGGATCTTTTGCACCTTTAACTGCACACTATGTACACAGTCATCGGGTGTTCACGTATCTAAGGCAATATACAGTCTGTGGAGATTTATATATGTAGGGTAACGTGTACACAGTCGTTTGGCGTTCACATGTTTAACCGATGTACAGTCATTAAGTGTTCACATATGTAAGGCGATATACACACTGGCAGGTGATGTTCACATATGTAAGGCAATATACTCACAGGCTTTGAATAGTCCCATATCTAGGGCACTACTGAATAAAATTCACTGTACAGTATGAAATGATGTTAATGAATAGGCATCAAGACAAATTACGCAAGTGGACTAGGCCAAATAGGGAAACAAAAGTGTTACAAAAGCAATGTTACAAAAGCATTAGCAAACTAAAACGGATTACAAGAGGTTATTTAAGCAAGAGTTAGTATTGATGTATCGAGAAAGGTAAACACATGACTTAATTTTATAACAAAAATTCATCATGAACGAATTTTATTTTCTGAAAACAGTGGATAATGATATGTATTTCTGTTCCAACAGAAGGGAACAACGTCGAGCGATTATCGAAGAAATTATTCTGTTCTATAGTTTAATAAGCTGAAGAAAGTTTTCAAGACTGTCTGTAGATTATTAACCGACGATAATCAGAGAAAGCCAGGCATTGAAGATTATTTCCATTTGGGTCCTTGTAAATCCTCTACCCCAGTGTAAGACCCACAATAGCCGAACAACTTGTATTTACAGCTGGTGAACAAAGATCAGTAGGTGTAAGGAAACTGGACCATACGTCTTATGTTAATTTACATGCCTCAGAGAGAGTTCCTTAACCCCTGTGAGGGGTTTTTAATCCAAAGAATTGGACCTGACCTCCCCTTCCTTGGATCAAACCTAATTACCACCAATTTCCCCAAGCACTGTATGACCCCTATGGGTTTAGCGCTCCCCAAGATTCTTATTATAATTGTTATAATTATTAAAAGTTGATAATTCCCGTTAAAGAGGCAGTGTTAGATACTAATTCCCTTTCAATTAAGAAGGCAATATTAGAATAAAATTTGATTTAAACAAGTTTTTGGTAAATAATAACATCGCCAACTTGCACTGACCCAAATAGTTTCCAATATGAAGCTAAGTTAGTGACATATTGTGCTTGTGATTTCAAATCCATGAAAAAAAAATAGTTTACAACCATTACTGTGATCCCTGCACTGTGAGTGAGCAAGGTACCCCTGCTGTGGTTCCTGCACTGTGTGTGAGCAAGGTACCCCTGCTGTGATCCCTGCACTGTGAGTGAGCAAGGTACCCCTGCTGTGGTTCCTGCACTGTGAGTGAGCAAGGTACCCCTGCTGTGATCCCTGCACTGTGAGTGAGCATGGTACCCCTGCTGTGATCCCTGCACTGTGAGTGAGCAAGGTACCCCTGCTGTGATCCCTGCACTATGAGCAAGGTACCCCTGCTGTGATCCCTGCACTGTGGTGAAAATATAAACACATATGCAGTATAATGTGATCCTTTATTGACTACGTTTCACCCACACAGTGGGCTTTTTCAAGTCACAAACAGATCTACCTGGGGTGGAAGGGACGCGAGTATTTATAGTCAGCATTCTGAACCTGACTATAAATACTCGCGTCCCTTCCAACCCAGGTAGATCTGTTTGTGACTTGAAAAGGCCCACTGTGTGGGTGAAACGTAGTCAATAAAGGATCACATTATACTGCACATGTGTTTATATTTCCATTGTGTCGGTATTTTATAACATTTATATCCACTGTGAGTGAGCAAAGTACCCCTGCTGTGATCCCTGCACTGTGAGTGAGCAAGGTACCCCTGCTGTGATCCCTGCACTGTGAGTGAGCAAGGTACCCCTACTGTGATCCCTGCACTGTGAGTGAGCAAGGTCCCCCTGCTGTGATCCCTGCACTGTGAGTGAGCAAGGTACCCCTGCTGTGATCCCTGCATTGTGAGTGAGCAAGGTACCCCTGCTGTGATCCCTGCACTGTGAGTGAGCAAGGTCCCCTGCTGTGATCCCTGCACTGTGAGTGAGCAAGGTACCCCTGCTGTGGTTCCTGCAATGTGAGTGAGCATGGTACCCCTACTGTGATCCCTGCACTGTGAGTGAGCAGGGTACCCCTGCTGTGGTTCCTGCACTGTGAGTGGGCAAGGTACCTCTGCTGTGATCCCTGCACTGTGAGTGAGCAAGGTACCCCTGCTGTGGTTCTTGCAATGTGAGTGAGCATGGTACCGCTACTGTGATCCCTGCACTGTGAGTGAGCAAGGTACCCCTGCTGTGATCCCTGCACTGTAAGTGAGCAAGGTCCCCCTGCTGTGATCCCTGCACTGTGAGTGAGAAAGGTACCCCTGCTGTGGTTCCTGCAATGTGAGTGAGCATGGTACCACTACTGTGATCCCTGCACTGTGAGTGAGCAAAGTACCCCTGCTGTTATCCCTGCACTGTGAGTGAGCAAGGTACCCCTACTGTGATCCCTGCACTGTGAGTGAGCAAGGTACCCCTGCTGTGATCCCTGCACTGTGAGTGAGCATGGTACCCCTGCTGTGATCCCTGCACTGTGAGTAAGCATGGTACCCCTGCTGTGATCCCTGCACTGTGAGTGAGCATGGTACCCCTACTGTGATCCCTGCACTGTGAGTGAGCAAGGTACCCCTACTGTGATCCCTGCACTGTGAGTGAGCATGGTACCCCTGCTGTGATCCCTGCACTGTGAGTGAGCAAGGTACCCCTGCTGTGATCCCTGCACTGTGAGTGAGCAAGGTACCCCTGCTGTGATCCCTGCACTGTGAGTGAGCAAGGTACCCCTGCTGTGGTTCCTGCAATGTGAGTAAGCAAGGTACTCCTGCTGTGATCCCTGCACTGTGAGTGAGCATGGTACCCCTGCTGTGATCCCTGCACTGTGAGTGAGCAAGGTACCCCTGCTGTGATCCCTGCACTGTGAGTGAGCATGGTACCCCTGCTGTGATCCCTGCACTGTGAGTGAGCATGGTACCCCTACTGTGATCCCTGCACTGTGAGTGAGCAAGGTACCCCTACTGTGATCCCTGCACTGTGAGTGAGCATGGTACCCCTGCTGTGATCCCTGCACTGTGAGTGAGCAAGGTACCCCTGCTGTGATCCCTGCACTGTGAGTGAGCAAGGTACCCCTGCTGTGATCCCTGCACTGTGAGTGAGCAAGGTACCCCTGCTGTGGTTCCTGCAATGTGAGTAAGCAAGGTACTCCTGCTGTGATCCCTGCACTGTGAGTGAGCATGGTACCCCTGCTGTGATCCCTGCACTGTGAGTGAGCAAGGTACCCCTGCTGTGATCCCTGCACTGTGAGTGAGCATGGGACCCCTGCTGTGGTTCCTGCAATGTGAGTAAGCAAGGTACCCCTGCTGTGATCCCTGCACTGTAAGTGAGCAAGGTACCCCTGCTGTGGTTCCTGTACTGTGAGTGAACAAGGTCCCCCTGCTGTGGTCTCTGTACCGTGAGTGAACAAGGTACCCCTGTTGTGGTTCCTGCACTGTGAGTGAACAAGGTATCCCTGCCGCGGTCCCTGCAGTGTGAGTGAGCAAGGTACCCCTGCTGTGGTCTCTGCACCGTGAGTGAACAAGGTACCCCTGCTGTCGCCCCTGCACTGTGAGTGAACAAGGTTCCCCTGCTGTGGTCCCTGCAGTGTGAGTGAGCAAGGTATTCCTGCTGTGGTTCCTGCACTGTGAGCAAGGTACCTCTGCTGTGATCCCTGCACTGTGAGTGAGCAAGGTACCCCTGCTGTGGTTGCTGCACTGTGAGTGAACAAGGTACCCCTGCTGTGGTTCCTGCACTGTGAGTGAGCAAGGTACCGCTGCTGTGGTTCCTGCACTGAGTGAGCAAGGTACCCCTGCTGTGATCCCTGCAGTGTGAGTGAGTAAGGTACCCCTGCTGTGGTCTCTGCACCGTGAGTGAACAAGGTACCCCTGCTGTCGCCCCTGCACTGTGAGTGAACAAGGTACCCCTGCTGTGGTCCCTGCACTGTGATTGAGAAAGGTATTCCTGCTGTGGTTCCTGCACTGTGAGCAAGGTACCTCTGCTGTGATCTCTGCACTGTGAGTGAGCAAGGTACCCCTGCTGTGGTTCCTGCACAGTGAGTGAGCATGGTACCCCTGCTGTGATCCCTGCACTGTGAGTAAGCATGGTACTCCTGCTGTGATCCCTACACTGTGAGTGAGCATGGTACCCCTACTGTGATCCCTGCACTGTGAGTGAGCAAGGTACCCCTACTGTGATCCATGCACTGTGAGTGAGCATGGTACCCCTGCTGTGATCCCTGCACTGTGAGTGAGCAAGGTACCCCTGCTGTGATCCCTGCACTGTGAGTGAGCAAGGTACCCCTGCTGTGATCCCTGCACTGTGAGTGAGCAAGGTACCCCTGCTGTGGTTCCTGCAATGTGAGTAAGCAAGGTACTCCTGCTGTGATCCCTGCACTGTGAGTGAGCAAGGTACCCCTACTGTGATCCCTGCACTGTGAGTGAGCATGGTACCCCTGCTGTGATCCCTGCACTGTGAGTGAGCAAGGTACCCCTGCTGTGGTTCCTGCAATGTGAGTAAGCAAGGTACTCCTGCTGTGATCCCTGCACTGTGAGTGAGCATGGTACCCCTGCTGTGATCCCTGCACTGTGAGTGAGCAAGGTACCCCTACTGTGATCCCTGCACTGTGAGTGAGCATGGTACCCCTGCTGTGATCCCTGCACTGTGAGTGAGCAAGGTACCCCTGCTGTGATCCCTGCACTGTGAGTGAGCAAGGTACCCCTGCTGTGATCCCTGCACTGTGAGTGAGCAAGGTACCCCTGCTGTGGTTCCTGCAATGTGAGTAAGCAAGGTACTCCTGCTGTGATCCCTGCACTGTGAGTGAGCAAGGTACCCCTGC